CCATCACAACTGGCAGCCTAAGGACATGCAAAACAAAGAAATCATCAAATACACCACATCCAGATGCTTGCTTGGTAATCCCGTTTATTTCGGAAGAATTTACTGCGGACGTCAGAAGAACTATCAGGAAAAAAGGCTTAAACATCAGAGTGATACAGCGCCCGGGAAAGTCGCTTAGAAGCATGCTCGTCCAATCCCGTCCGTATGATAACGATTGCCGAACTGGTCCGAAATGTAAGTTTTGTCAAGTTTGCGACAAGAAGAATATGTGCTTCCGGAAGGATTTGGTCTACTCCATAAAGTGCGGTTTATGTGACAAGAACCATGGAATTTACGTGGGAGAAACCAGCCGACCATTCGCTGTGAGGTTCAATGAACATCTTCGCTCTGCGAGAAATCCCGATGCGAAATCTTACCAACATATGGCATTCTCGAAACATTACAAACTGTTACACCCGGGTCAATCGCCTAAGCTTATTCCTTTGATGTTGAAGAAAACAAAAGGAACATTGGAAAGAAAAGTCACGGAGGCATTCTACATTGAAAGAATGCAACCTGACCTGAACTCAAAGGATGAGCTGCAGGAAGTTAAGGGATTCTGTATATAGTTTAATGTAATTACATATATAGGCACGGACACGAAATTTTAACGCTCTCACGGACACGCCATGGGGGGGGGGATTAAGCGCGCGCACGGACACGAATTAGTTTGAAGCGCACGTCAGCTATTATACGCAATCCTAACGGATTTTGTCTAAATTTGTAATTGTTTTTAAAGTTTTATATCTTTAGTTACTTTTTAACCTGAAGATGGAGTTATACTCCGAAACGTAGTTATTAAAATAATCTTCCTGTACTGAGCCTATATGGTCTAATTTATTCAAACACAGAATTATACAATAATACAAACATGCACTAACTGCATTTCCTCGTTCTGTCAATCCTCGAACACACACACAATGTGCAGGTTCATTGACAACACATTACTGATGCTTGAATAACACAAGCTTCGAAAACTGTTTTCGTATTACCTTGTCATGCATTCTCGCATTTGTCAACTTGCTTAAATGGTGCATATGAATGGTCACATAACTCTGAAACAGCATTTAATCAAACTAAGTATGTGGTTGTTCTCTGGAGTTGGATCAAACATGTGTTGGTCCAATGTACTAAAGACCCCTTTTTCAACACAGACTGACAACACCGTCGCAGCGATCACATTTGGAAATCCAGAGCTATGCGGTAAACCACCTCCATTTGCATTTAGCATTCTCATGACACACTTCTCTGTTTCCTTGCAGATCTTTAAAAGTCCGAGGATGGCAATCTAAGACCTCCATTTGTCTTCCATGTTATGAACAAGTCTGGAATGTTTTCCTTGTTCGTTGTCAAAGCCGTGACACATTGCGGACAATGGATCTTTTTCTCGACCATTTTTACCACATACCCAGCGATATAGGATCTGGCAGCTTCTTTGTACTCTGACAGTTCCATGGCATTAGAAACATCACAGTAGTCGTGATCATCTGCAGCGGGCGGTCTCAACGCCAAGTCATATCTCCTTGCAATTGCCACATCAGAAATTCCAGTAGGCAAGGAGTTGATTTCATGCTGATCCTGGACACTATTCAATATATCCGTATCATCTTGAGGAGTACAGTTTCCACGTCCTCTTCGATGTTGTGCCTCATCAGCAGTTGCTTGTATCTGCTATAAATTGACGAGTTGTTGGATTATTATTCCACCCTCCAGATGCTTGCACAGCTGAAAAGAATAATTCCGAGTGATCTTGGCTCATCTTGTACGTCAGAAGATACTTGAGCACTGGATTCTCGGCATTGACGAGATCTTCTGCTAATCCCACAACAGCATTGATGCACAAAAGGAAACCAAAAAATCCTGTTTTCCTTTTTGACGTGAGGATCGATTGGCCATCTGACGTTTTCAGATTTCGAATATAGTTACTTGCCTCATCTAGAAACCTCTTTGTGTACTGGTAGTTTGATCTTCTTGCCTCATCTAGAAACCTCTTTGTGTACTGGTAGTTTGATCTTCTAATTGTCACCTTGAAATTTCTCGCCAACGGATTCCTGGAATTTAGAACATCAAAAAGATGTTCAAATACGCAGATAAATTTGACTGTTGGACCACACCCTTGAAATTGTGGCAATTTCAGCTTACCTTCACAATACTCTAAAGCACCTGCAACACTTGAACTGAGCACCTGCGCTGCCAGGTTTACCTTCATTTTCTGCGGCTTCCACTTAATGTGAGCGGATTGGAGCTTATTGGCTAGATATAAACCCTCTGATTCTTGTAACTTATGCAATTCCTCCAAGAATTGCTACTTTATGACTCTGCCATCTTTATCCTTTAGAAACTTCCAATCCGACATGGTGTTTCTCACCAACTTTATCATGTGACAAGCATCTTGGAAAATAGATCTTGGCTGTCGGGTCACATGGATGTTGGAAGTATGCTTGCAAGCTCTCAGGTAACAGTTGTCGCTTCGGGTAGCGAATCGTCATTGATGCCTGTACCAAGGTCAACGTAACCGCGGAACTGCTTACCATCCCACTCGACATGTTTGCGTATGGACATCTCATCAAGCATAAGTGTGCAAACAACTTCTTGGTTATCTCGTTCTTCAGCTAGAACTTTGGCTCTCAATGCCGCGCCAATGCGTTCTTAGTGAAACCTGGTTCGCCATTCATAGAATTATACCACGACCGAATCAAAAATACATGTGGCAGCCCTAAATCAAAACTATTCCGAACATAGTTATACGCATTTGTAGAATAAAATTTCAAGGTCAGGGCAAATGATCTAAGCTCTGGTGGATATGCCCCAGGATTTTTCTTTTTATTTTGTCACTAACCTTTTCGTGAGTTCCCTAGGAACTCCAGAAAAAGTCGTTTCTAAAAGGGCTGCACAATCACTATTGATTAGATTTTTCTCTTTTAATTCACTTACCACTGAAGCCAACATGCTAACCTTTCTATCCCTTCTCTTGGTTTTCTTCTGAGATGATTTCAATCTCTTCTTTAGATTTCCAACTGTATCTATAAGATAATCCACTTGCCTCCTCGCTCTACGAGGAGATTTTATACAATACGAGTGATCATTTGCACTTTTCTCAGAAGAACTGGTTGTACGTGCTCTTTTTGGAGACGTGCTTACCGCGTTTATTTCAACCTCAGAGTACGTTCTCTTTCTTCCTAGTATACTTACACTGTTTTCGTTCGTCACCTCGTCAGTGATGTGCTGCATGCTTACACTATTTGTAGTAGTTACCTCCTCAATGACCACCTGTAAACTTGATGCTTCATCACTTACTTCATTTTCATTTCTTATTACTGCTACTATTAAACAATCTTTTTCTGGTGGCATACCTTTCAATTGCCCTCCCTCTTTAACTTCCCTGTCAATGAGTTTCTCATTCTGCCCTCCATTCTTTGATACCTAAAGAAGTTAAAATTACTGAACTTTCACAGTTTGGCCAGGCGATGGAGCCTTCGTGAAAAGGAATATTTCAACTGGCTCATACATAATTTTAAGAATTTTTATTAAGTGAAGCTTAGCCGAACAGAAGCACGCCCTGAAATTTCCAAGCATACCCTTATAATATGTATGTTGGTTTTAGATTTTTTGAATATCAATTTGTGATTAAAAATTGATATTCAAAAATGCCAAAACCGACATATACACCGACAGCACCCAGGGAAATTTGGGGGCCTGGGGCAAAATTTGATCCCTCGATTGTGATTCCATCTTCTGACACTATGTCTATAATTAGGTCGGTCCAGTGGCATTTTCCCCAGAAATATTTTGAAATCCAAGGTCCTAGAAATGACCAAATCCTGGATTCTGGAAGTCTAATTAGTTATATCTAGACAGTTATATCTACATACATGTGACTGTAATTCTTTATTCGGGGGGACATTCTATAAAATCTTAAGATCATACACTAATTACAAAATGTCAAGTTATCATTCACTCCATCTTCCAACGGACGTTTGATAATTTGGCAGTTATTTCAATATTTCATTCAAATTATTCTCATTCAAATGTTTTGATTAGAAGTGTTAAGACTAAATTTTAGTTCAGTTTTTCCGCTCATTGTCTCATTTGCCTGTTAATTAACAACATATCACAGCAAATTTTATCACTGCACATTTTACATTTTATCACTGCACAAATTGGTTATCACTGCACACTAAAATTAGGTATGAACTGCCTATGAAGAATTTAGTATAAAACTTGATATTTGCCAAGTATATCCTCATTTTTCATTCATATCATTTGTACGGGATGGAAACCTCTTGTAATGGAGATGCTATAAAACGTGTTTTGATTTTGTACAGTGTATTACGTACTACTTAGAACACATTTTGCGGTGTGCATGGCACATCATCACATACTGAAAGTATTTGCCATGCTTTTTACCGTAATAGGCAATTCCAGCTTTTAGTTTATGCCTGCAGGGAATGATGAGAAGTAAGGTTGATATCATATTGCCGATTATGCTGAAAAATTTCAATAAAAACTACCAAAGTATAAGCAATCACTCCATGTTTACACAGCCACGATTTTTATTTTGTTAGCATAATCAGTAATGTGATACCTTCATACCTGCATGCATAAACTAAAAGCTGGAATTGCCTATTACAGTTTCTGGGAAATTACATAGTACTTAAAGTAAACGTTTTCCGGCCAATTTAAAATCTGTTTGCAAGTTATCGTCTGTCAAGAGGCATATATACGGAAGAAGGGAGGGGCGCTAGATGGGTGAGTCCTCACGTAGGACCAACGTAAGACCACCTTAACATGGAATGGGTTTTAAGTTTGTTTCTCACGAGCTATGGTAAGGCAGGAGCAGAATATCTTTTCTTCAACACATGCATAAAAATACTGTTCTGTATTTTGACCAATAAATGTGGAAATAAGCTTAAACACGAAAACGAGGCTGAGTGGCCATGGCCCCTATTGACCCCTCTTGGCCCCTCAGCCTTGTTTTCGGGTTCAAGCTTATTTCCACATTTATTGGTCAAAATCCATTTTTTATGCATGTGTTGAAGAAAGATATTCTGCTCCTCTAAAGCCTAGTTTCCATTTTTTTGTTAGTTGTCGCTGGCACGACAAGTGGTTGATGTAATAGAGTGTCAACAAAACTTTATAAAACTCTGCAATTATTAAGACTGATTTGCATATAACACACTGTCGAGAATTGCCCTGTGATAGTTCTCAACACAATAAGTTTTAATTTTCTTTAGTTTTAATAACGTTTATACGCACTATAAATCTCTCACAACACGCTGTCTCAAGCCGGTTTTCCACTAGCGATTTTTTTCGCGCGAAGCGACTTTTTTTCGCCGATTATAGGGGCCAATTTTGTTGCACAGCTACTTTTTTCGCAAGTTCTGAAAATTCCCGCGAATTACATAACAAAGATGGCGGCAATCAACTTAAGACGTCTTCTGGCTGTAAAGAACAATATAATTCATTTGCTGTTGCTGAAAAGACGTCAAAAGCGCTTAAATAGGTACAAAAAACGGTTCTCAGTTAGACAGATTTATGCAGAACGAAAACAGAAAGGCGAATATCATCTTCTTGTCAAAGAACTTATGCTTCATGATCAAGAATATTTTTTTAACTGTTTTCGGATGTCGCCAACTATGTTTGAACAATTACTGTCTTGGATAGGACCACTTCTCCAAAGAGCTACCACTAAAATGCGTGAGCCAATTGGCCCTAGCGAGAGACTGTGTGTTTGCTTAAGGTACTTGGTTACTGGTGATGCCCAAGTTACAATTGCTGCAAGTTACAGGATAAGTGCTGCAGTTGTGGGAAGGATTATCAATGAAACTTGTGAACTGTTGTGGAACACTCTGATCGAAAAAGGTTATGTTAAGCACCCGTCAACAGAGAATGAATGGAAAGTAATTGCCGAAGAGTTTGAGACTTGTTGGAACTTTCCTCACTGTGTAGGTGCCATAGACGGTAAACATGTTTTAATGCAGGCTCCGGGTAATTCAGGATCTGCTTACTTCAACTACAAGAAAACGTTTAGTATTGTTCTTATGGCTGTGTGTAATGCCAAGTATCAGTTTACTTTAGTCAATATTGGAGACATTGGACGACAAAGCGATGGTAGTGTCTATGGTTGCAGTCATTTAGGTTATGCCATTGAGAATAATCAACTGAACATTCCAAGTGAGAGCAAGCTAACTAATTCAGAGAAAGTTCTGCCATACGTGTTTATTGGTGATGATGCGTTTGGTTTAAAAACACACATGATGAAGCCTGTCCCTTCACAAAACTTACCACCTGACCAACATGTATTTAATTATAGATTGTCGCGGGCACGATGAGTTATTGAGAACACATTTGGTATAGCAGCCAGTAGGTTCAGAATATTCCGCAAACCAATCATTGCAAATGTGGAGAAGGTTATTTTGGTAACGAAAGCCGTTGTTGCTCTCCACAATTTTCTTATGACAATTAATTCATCAAGGGACAATTATAAATACTGTCCCAGGACCTTCATGGATCAAGATGGACCTTCGGGGTTAAGAGCTGGGGAATGGAGAAAAGATCGAAATGCAGTTTTGGGGTTGCAGCCAATTTCCAGAACTGGTTCAAACAACTATTCAAGAGATGCTGCTTCAGTTAGGCAAGGATTTAAAGATTATTTTGTCTTTGAGGGAGCAGTGGAATGGCAATGGGAATTAGTAAGTCGCACCGTTATTCCCTATGATGCATTTTTGGATAGATTAACTCAACCCATGTAGACCATGTATGTATGAAACTTACTTTACATATAACCCATTTCACTTGTAAATAAAACAGTCAATTCGGAAGAAAGACAAAACAAAGATTTTCAGCCTGGTGATTGTTAGAGCTTTGACGTTGCTTTTCAAACTGTTTGATTATACATGAAAGCATGGGTTAAATATAAAGCCTGGTTCACATTAGTTGCAACAATCGGGGATGCTATTGTTTGGGATTGCGATACACAAAGGATTTTACTCGTGAATGATCAGCGACAATAGGCATCTCCGATTCTTGCGAGTAGTGTGAACCAGGCTTAAGATTGACCATGCGAATAATAATAACAATAATATCATGTAGAAATATAAAGTGTCTGCTGTGTTGGTGTAATGTACTCAGGTGAATAAGATGTTTGTGTGATGTTACTCTGAGTGTATATCCACACCGGGCAGGCTTGAAAAATATGCCTGGCCACGGCGGGATTCGAACCTACGACCTTTGGAATACTAGCCCACTAATATCATGTAGAAATATAAAGTGTCATTGTAATGACTGTAAATTATGTACAAATATGAATAATATGGAACTAGAACAATGAAACAGAATGTTAAAAATACTTAATTTTTACAAGATGTAATGTTATGAAAATTATTAAATTAATTAAAAAACACTTAAAAACAGTTTTATGAAAATTGCATAAACCCAACAAAGTTGTAAGTACTAAAGTACCATGAAAATGTGAAGTTTACTAGTAGCTAGTCTTCAAATTCAATGTCAAATAATAGTTGCCTTATTTTAATCATGGCCAACCTCTTTTTTCTCAATGCAAGAGCACTTATGACAGGAATTAAGCTTTTGCAATAATGTGATATTTCATCATTTCATCATCAGTCTCCTCATTTGCTAATGATTTATTGATGGTTTTGTCTGTGTTTTCCAACTGCTTCAAAATGGCCATGTCAATGGCATCTTGACGTGATTTTTGAAATCCATGCCAACTGCTTGTTGGAGGTATTGACATTTGACTAGCCTTTCGTTTTGTAGTAGTAGCACTACTACTACAGGTGGAATGTGATGGATTTGGTATAGATATAGTAGCAGAGGGTGATGGTGTAACTTGTTGAACAGAATTCTGAGAATAGGTCAAATTACTTTCGGTTGCTTGGTTTGATGTTTTCTCATGCAGAAACTTCATTTGCTCAAAATATTTGCATCTTGGTAATGATGAAGCTGCTGCACCAGACTTTGTCATCCTTTGTCTTTTGTCCAAACATTTTTTTAAATTAGCTTTTAGATTTTTTAGCTGTCTTTGGAAGAATTCCACTAAAAAATAAGAAAAAGTATTACAAACTATGAACTAAATAAGAAATGCACAGCATACAAGGTGATATTAGTATTATGTGGTTTGCACTTAACACCATGGCTCCACAATGGCCACTGTATTTTTGTATCATCAATCTCAAGGGATTTATTGCAAACCACCTATAGCAAAGGGAATGGCTAGAGGGAGAGGACTGGTGCATTTTTATCATTGACTACCTCTTTTAGGCTGATTCCTCCCAGTCTATGGTGCAGAAATTGCAGGCCTTTCAAAATAGTTGACATATATTTTGTCATGACCCCCACCCACCTGTCATGCAAGCTCATGTATAGGTCTTCTACCATCACAAGTATATATTATAGAATCAGTTGCATAACAATCTGGGGCTCCTGAGTCCGTCGAGTGCTAGGAGTCCTAGTATGAGTGCTAGATTTCCTAGCGGGTTTCAGAGCATGCTCCCCTGGAAAATTGTGAAATCTCTGATGATTTTACAGTAGTTGTAGTTATGCTACTACATATAAGTGTTCCATATTATATTTGCAGTTAATGACTTGCTGGAGTTGGTGACTACAGAAAATTCTAGATGAACTTCTTGAACTCTAGCATTATTACATAAAAATACCCCCCTTTAAGACATGTATTTAGATTGTAAACACTCCCCAGCATGGCAATTTTCATGGCAAAGGTCATAAAGGGAAATGGGTTAGTGTTTATAATCTAAATGAGTGCAAAATATTTCATGCAAGCAAAAAAGGGAGCTTGAGTCAAACAATTTGTTGCATGTCTTAAAGGTGGGCGAATATTTTTTATTCAAATATGCTACAGAAGTGTTCAAGGAGTTCATCTAGAATTTTTCTGTAGATACCGAGAGATTAATATAATATGAAACACATTCTAGGTAGTGGCTTAACTATATACAGTGGTTTGGACATGTATTAAAATCTAGCCTTGACCCCTTTCTTTAAGAAAAAAAAAATCATTTTATTATTTTAATACATTGTTGTCATGTTAATACATTGTTGTCATGCAGATTACTTGCCGACATTAATTCACTTTCAGCCTCTATATCACTATATGTGCCTTTTCTTTTATATGATATAAATATGAATGATCTATTATATAACAAAAAATACAAACTATTAACTATATAAAAACATAACTATATATAAATCTCACCATCTTTGCTGAATACGGTCCCAATCTTGGCCCACACATTCTGTTTAATTGGTCTCTTTTTGTATGCCTCAGAGTTTATATCCCATAGGCATCTGTATTTTCTCACTTCTTCAAGAAATAGTTCTTTTTCGAATTCAACAGCAGCAGAGTCCAGTCGCTCCACGGGAGCTTCAGCATCATTTTCTTGAATGGTTTCATCGTCTTCAACTATGTCAGTCACACCAGGACTGTCTGGACTTGTTTCAACACCCTCCGGGCTCTCCACATTTAAGTTAAAGTCGGTTTCGGCACTCCAAAAAGTTTGTCGTTCTTCTTGGTCCGCCATTTTGATTGGCTTGCTCCTTTTTTCGCGGCAAAAAAGTAGGATTCGGTCGAACTCGTTTTTTCGCTTCGACGAAGCTTTTGTTCGCTTATTCTTCGCTTTGGCGAATTGCTCGAATGACGTAATTGCTAAATGCGCATGCGCATCGGCGAAAAAAGTCGCTTCGCGCGAAAAAAATCGCTAGTGGAAAACCGGCTTCAAAATTGTTTTACAATCACAATAACAACTACCGGTATATTCCAGAACTTTTTGAGAGGGTTCAGTTCGGACTCTCGTGTCCCATGCGTAAACATAACATAATATATAATTATATGACAGTTTTTGACACCCTCCCCACATATAGCTTGTAAAGGATATATGTTCTCAAGGAAACTTTTACTGTAAATTATCAAGTTCTAATGTCTCAATGTTTACACTTGTTCTTCATTTTCGATTTTGGCCATTTCCTGGATTCTGGAACGCGCTGCCACTGCCGCATGTCGAGTTGGTCGGAAAACAGGAGCTGTTGGGTTAAGGGGTGGAGGGTCCTCTTGACGCTGATTGCACGACAACTCTAGAGGGTACAGGTGATTAACCAACCGCTCTCTCCCAGTGACCATTTGACGTTTTCACCTTTGCTGTATGGATGACACCATCTCTCCCCGGAAAGAGTTCTTCAACTATTCCCAATGGCCACTTTCCTCGGTTTCTTTCATCAGAAGCGATGATTACAACTTCTCCAACAGACAACGTAGACAGCTTCCCATGGTGTTTCATGTTGTGCTTCTCTTGTAACGCTCGTAGATACTTGGTACTCCATCTTTTCCACATATGATCTTTGCATGTTTTGAGATATCTCGCTCGTTTTCTGAGGTCTCGATTTTCTTCATGGCGAGGTTCCAACTCAGGTAATACGGTAGTGCCAACAAACTGTAAACTATTTGGCATCATTGTAGGTAACTCTGTCATCTTTCTGATATCCCAATGGGCGATTGTTTAAAGTCACTTCGATGTCTAACATACATCTTGCAACTCGCTCCAAGTTAAACAGCTGTTTCCAATGGACTTGTATAGCGCGCGTTTTACTAGTCCGATGGGTCATTCGAATCACCCGCCCCACCAAGGGGCGCGACTCAAGTTGAACTGCCAATGAATTCTCTCGTTCGCCAATTGGTTGTGGAATTGCTCATCAGATTGTACCTTCTTTAACCATGTTGATGCAGCTGCAAACGTTCCTGCATTATCAGAGTAAATCTTACCAGGTCTCCCTTTTCTTGCTATGAGCCGTTTCAGTGTTTGCAGAAATTCACCTGTTTCCATCATTTTCGTCAGCTCCAAATAGATTGCTCGACACAGACTACACGCGAACAATGTCACATACGCTTTTCCTTGTGTTTTCTTTGTCACACAATATTTTATCAGTCCAACAAAATCCACTCCCACGATTTGGAATGGACGGTTACCTTGGGTACGATCACACGGTAAGTTTCCTACTGGTGGTCTTGTGACTCGTTTGGCGTGGAATCGTCGACACCCGAAACATTTCTTCATTACTTTCTTCACCAACTGTCTCAGCTAGGGACCCAATATCGCTCTCTAATTTGTCATGGTCAAACCAACTCCCCCGTGTAAGGTGTGCTCGTGAGCATCTTGGACCAATCTTTTGGTGTAGAGATGGTCATCGGGTAGATATATTGGGTATTCTCCTTGCAATCGACCGTTCCAATACATCACTCCGTCTCCTTCGTTCGTCTTCACATTAAGACGTAGCTTGTCTTTGGTTGCTTGGTCATTTTGGTATGATTGAGCTCGTTTTACCCAGAACGCATGTTCGTTGTTGATTTCTTCAGTTATTAACGGTCCTTTGTGACGGTTTTTGTTTTCGGCTCTGCAGTTGAACACGAATCGATGCACCCAGGCGATAACTCTAATGGATTTCGTCAGTGAAAACTTTGCGAGAAGGTCGTCAAACTCATCTCTCGAAACCACGGCTGCACTGAAGAGTTCTTTCACTGCTTTCGCTTCAGACTCGGGAGTGGCTGTCGTAACAATATCTGGAGCCCAGTGATCTGGGTTCACCAACCATTCTGGGCCGTTCCACCAAACGCGATTTCCCGATACTTTGCCTCCCCTGCTTCCCAGGTCGGCTGGGTTATCATTTGTAGGTACATGGCACCAGGTGATTTCAGGATGCTCTTGGATCTTCTTGACCCGGTTTGCTACGAATTGTTTATACTGTCCACTGCCTTGTAACCACTGTAATGCAACTGTGCTATCAAGCCAACCGAATACACTTATCACTGGCACATCATCAATTGCTTGTTGGACATTGGATACAAGATTCACGGCCATGTGAGCCGACACAAGTTCCAATCGAGGTATGGTGAGATCCTGTTTTGCTAACCGTGCTTTAGCAGTAACTAAACCAACGTTAACACCCGACTCTTGCTTCGTAATGGCATACACCCATAGATATCTCATATACACTAGATAGCGCATCTCGGAATACAAAACTGAAGCCAAAAATCTCAGCGGTTTCCCCCATGAAAATAGGCGGCGGCCATATTGGTCGTTCCCACTCATCAATGAAATGCTATAGAAAATACTATACTTTTCGAGGCTTTTTTGCATTTCTGGATTAAAAATACCTTTTTGAGGTATGTTCGCCTTGAAATCGCAGCTTTTTGGAAAAGTGTACAAGAAAAAACATTAAATGGCGATGTTGTTGTCTTTGAATCGCATTTTAAAGCTAAACATTTCGAATTACAACATTCTTTATATATTTGTTTTGAATCTGTGAATGATTCTCTGGTGAAGTATCATCTAATCAATACATGTACTTACGGTTTCTGGCACCACTTTATGGAAATGGAAGTTGGTAAGTAACGTTTCGACTATCGGCGTAGGCAGTTTATACTGTAAAAAACAGAGTCTGCACTTTCAGTTTGGGCAGTTTTCACTGTAAATCTTTAGTGAAATGTTTGAGACAGTCTGAGTCTGCACTTTCAGCTTGGGTAGTTTTCACTCTAAATCTTTAGTGAAACGTTTGAGACAGAGTTTGCACTTTCAGCTTGGGCAGTTTTCACTATAAATCTTTAGTAAAATTATGTTTGAGGCAGAGTCTGCACTTTCAGCATGGGCAGTTTCATAGTAAATTTTACTAATATTTAGCTTTCTCTGATACATTCTGTGTAGTCACTCACACTGGTGCTTAAAAGGTACAAGTTTATTTAATTTCTTTCTAATTTTTTGTCCAGATGAATTCTCAGTGGTCTTTTTTCCAAGATGGTAAAATTTAACCTCACAGTAACTCTTGATGATGCTCTTGGTCAACTGAAATATAACATGATTTTCACCAACTGGTGAGTCAAAAATATGGTGATCTAGCTCAGTAAAAAGATTGGGTATGGACAATGAAGCCAGAACATATGGACAATGAACAATGAAGCCAGAACAGAAGTGGTCAGAACATATGTGTCTGCTTTCTGAGAACAGAACAGTATGGACAATGCAACCAGAACAAAAGTGGTCAGAACATATAAACATCTGCTTTTTGGGTGACCACTTTTCTTGATGAACATTTTGTATCAACTGTTTTCATAGTACTTCATCCTTAGGGATGTTTATCATGTTAATGCAAGTCTAATTTCAATCAATATAATAGTATACTGTAAAAAAACTAAAATAAATTGCTTACTGATGAAATGTCCTGGGAAGTTTTCTTTTGATTTTTGATTCTGTCACTTGACCCTTCACTATTACTTCTTATACTTTTTGCATCAGGAATGACTTTACCCATTGCTATGAAATTTTCTGAGTTTAATTCAAATTTTTAATTTCATTTGGCACCAAAACTTCTTCAGGTCTCCAAATTTATTTTTAAAATTGGACATTTTTTAATGATATTTACAGTAACCACTAAACTCAAAAGGCAAAAATTGAGAGTTTATCATGTTTTCAATCCTGAGAGTACTGGCAATTTATTTTATTTTTTTAGAAAAGTTTAATTATTGTGCATCTGATGAGTCAAAGAATTAGAAAACACTATTACACAAAGTCAAAAGTAATACTTTATTATAACAATAGAATTATTTATACAATAGTGAGTGCAACTATATTTAAGATTATAAAATCTACTGTGCATCAAGCAGTTTATCCATTGACCTTACAATATACAATAATGCAAGAAGTAATGTGTCTCATTACAAAATAGGGTTTCCCAAAGCAGTTCTAAAATTCAACTGATTATCAATGACCTATGCTGTTAATAATTACAGTAATTTGGCAGTTTGATTGCTTGAATTAAAAACAAAAGGTCTAGGACTCAACAGAAAGAAATATTTCATAACATCAAATATTAAAGATAGTTTGAAGCATTCATACAATTGAAGGTTTTAGAAAGTTTGATTATCAACTACATTTACATAAAGCAATATATTAAGTTGCAATTATTCTGCGAATATATTAAGTTGCAATTATTCTTCTCTAGCTTCTAACACATTTTAATCTTGATGTGATTCCATGGAACTATAAAATAATATATGATATGTATGTATGTAATAAATATACAAATAGTAAGGAGTAACTTATTATAATAGTAAGGAACATTTTTGGTGTCAATGTTTTATATATTGACTATTTAAGATTTTAAGTCTATTTTTGCCATTGATAAACTGTGACTAAAATATGTTTTTCAGTGTCGCTGTCTTTTACAAAAGAATATGCAAATACATTCACAATTTTGCTATGAAGCAATGGCGATAGCTCAAAATGTTTTATTTGGAATTGGTGGAACTATATTTATATATACATCAACAATGATGGTTTGTCCATAGGGTTTGTCCTATGGGCGCCCTTCATACGGGTCGACAAATATTGATATTTTTGAAAAAAATAATTAAATTCTGCCTACCCGTTATTCACAATATGAAGCTCCAACGATCTGGCATCATTTACAACAAGTTGCACACTTGAAAAACCAAAATTGACTGCATAAAAGACGATTTATTGTCAACTTTGTCCATTTCCGCAATACAAAATATACAAATTATCACGCTCCGTGGGAACGACCAATATGGCCGCCGCACGTAAACTGCGACTGCGATCAGGCTTCAATTTTCGCCTGCCTACAGGGTGGGATGCGCTATCTAGTGTATATGAGATATCTATGCATACACCGCAGCAGAAACTCCCTTTTTGTTTGCGTCACCAAACGCATGTAGCTCGACTTCGTCTACGATTTCCTGATGAACTGCTATGGGTCAAGGGACAGTCACTTGCTCCGGGAGTTCTTTCACCCATTGTTGGTATTCACCAAATATTGGTTCTGAAATCTTCACATCCCATGGTACTTTCTGCTTACAAGCCTCATGGTAGATATGCTTCCCTTTGAGAGTGACAGGTGGAACTAGTCCAAGTGGGTCATATATTCTCACAAGATTTCGCAAGAGTTCTCTCTTCGTTACAGATGTTTCCATTTTGGGAATCACTATGCTGATTTCATCTTCTTGCTTGTTCCATGTTAGACCAAGCAGGCTTGATTGGGACTGGTTAAATCTGGTTAGCTGCTGTTTTGCAAAGGTTTGATCAGGTTCAACTTCCACTTCGTTCAAGTCCCGTTCCGGTTTCACTTCACTCTTTTCGCATTCAGTTTTCCGCATTCAGTTTTCCGTTTGTTATCTTCTAGCTGTGGTTCGTTTGAGTGCCATTTATGCAAGGTAAACTTGGCATCTTCGAAGATCTTTATGGCACCTTCCTTTAGCTCCATTGCACTGGCAACTGTTGGTTTCCCACTTAACATATCATCAACATAAAGACTTTGTCGTATGTCAGCAACTAGCTTTGGTTCTTGGGCTTCCCAACTATCCAGGTGATGTTCTACGATTGCTGCAAGGAGGAAGGGTGAACAGGTTAAGCCAAAACGTGCTCTTGTAAATCTGAGTGTTTCTGTTAAAGAATGTTCATTTGGCTTCCAGAAGAATCTCAGGGAATCTCTTTCCTCTTTCTTAATCCTCACTTGTAGAAAGGCTTGTTTCAGGTCGCCAGACAATGCAACTGGATGAAACCGCATTCGTGTCAGGCTCGTTGAGACTAGGGGATTGTAGGTTTTCTCAAGCAGATCCATCGTACACCACACAAAGCTTTGTCGATTCTGCGCCTGTTCGCACAACAGGCTTGTGGGAAAGGTAAAACTCCTTGGATGTAGGGAGTTCATTGACCAACTCCACTATTCCCTCTTCCTTTTGTTGCTCGATTACCTTGTTGTATTCACGAGTGACTTCCAGTTTCTCTAATTTGTTATATAAGCGATCAAGTTGGCGTAGGCTGCCTTCCTTCCTTGTTGCTAGGTAATGGTGGGTGGTTCTTCTACAATAATCCAGTTTCGTACCATCCCTCTGGATCGCGTATAAGCTGTTCACATAACTCAGCATGCACCGTCTGTTGATCATGCTCGGGTCTATCTTCCAAGCCAAGTATATCTAGCCGACACAAATCCTCATAGTCAGTATGGCTAGTCTGGGTTAACAACATCTTCGAATGATCCAACTCCTTCCCTGAAGACATTATAGTCCACCCGAACTTAGTTCTCTCTGCCACAGGTCTCCCAGTTGACTGACACGTGGTGGTTCTACCGTCTTTATTGCTGCATAATCACTCGCCCCGAGAATCAAGTGGACTGGCAAAAATGGTTTGGGATCATTATCCACCATGATGACTCCTTCAAGATGCTTAAATGACTGAATTATCTCTGAATAATGTGGATTGTCAATTGTAAACAGTTTTCGCCGTTCGAATCTCGTAACTTCCACTTGTAATTTCTCTTCACCGTCAACAGATGCAACATTGATTGTGGACAAAGTAACTTCACGAGTTGTGGAGCCAAGCATCATCTCAATTTTACGCACTTCCTTTGATTGTGACCGTTTTGGAAGTCGGTCTAACAGGGCTGCTGAAGCATAAGAGCTTCCGGCTCCGGTATCCAATAGGGCACGACACTCGATTCCCTCTACGTTAACATTTACTATTGAATACACGACTGGTTTGCTACCTTGCTCAGTAGCTAATAGCTTATCTTTCATCATACAGATTGATGTATGGTGTTTTTGCTTGCACCGCTGGCACCCAGAAGTGCTTCCACATTCAGAAGCTCGATGTCGTGCTCCTGTGCAGTTAAAACACAACCGTTTAGTTGCTAGGATTTTCTTCCTCTCATTCACATCAACAACGTTGATGTCTTCACAATATACACAACTGTGTTTCCTTGCACCAGTGTTAAAGACTTTGTCTGATCTATCCTTACGTCTCCCTTTCTCTTTACCACTCTCCTCATTACATGGATTAATGTCTCTCCATACTTTCATTTCCTTAACAAGTTGCGCTAAGCCCCAATCCTGCCAACCTTCGTGCCATCTCACAATATCGCTTTTTATACCCGGTAGTTTATCGATTACACTTCTTGTCATCCCATTAACATGCTCTAGCTTGCCTAGAGTCTCTAAAGACTGTACGTTATATAATAAAGTTTTGTAAAATTTATCTACCTCACTTGGGTTGGCATCCTTGACAACAGGTAACTCCAAAATATTCTGCACGTACGCATTAACAATTTTGTTTGTTTTCCCATATTCGCCAGACAAGATTGCCTTCGCTCGACTGTAACCTTTTATTCCAAAATGGCAGCCAGTTTTCATATTTCGCATCAAATTTTGTTATAGAAAGCTTAGGTAGCTTCGTTGAACTTGAACTCTCTTTCGCTTCACTGAAATTTTAGTTGTTGTTCAAATAGCTCGTGCTCTTGACGTAATTTTTGTTCGTGTTTTTCTTGCTGAAACAGGAGTTCCTTTTTAACGGCTTTGGCTTTCTCAATTGCTTGCGTTTTTCGCACAATTTCGTCTTGAATTTGTCGCAGTTCTAAAACTTTTTCGTCGGCAGCTTTTAATTTTTCCTCAATAGCACTTACCCACTCAGTTATTTGCTCCTCAGTCTCCTTTTTTACGAATTTTTCTTCCTCAATACTGTCCTTTAAGCTGTGTCATGCATTGACCTTCGCTATTATCGAATTTTCGTGTCTGGATATCGCTTTGCTACTGTTCGTTTTAATCACTTGGTCGCTTCTTTTCACGGTAAATTCGAGTGTTCGCAATTTCCCTTCGAGCTCCTTCACTTTTGATTCCATATCTCCGTTAATTTACAAGAAATCAGTAGAATAATTTTAATGCTTTTTTAAGACAGGTTTCATTTCCCGCGGCCGTGTCGTTCGTGACCTTATACAAATGCCAATATTTTCACAGGTTCTTGCTCTTGTACAAGCGATAAATCACACAAAAATCCCGTTTGGAGGTGCCACTATGTCGAGAATTGCCCGCTGATAGTTATCAACACAATAAGTTTTAGTTTTCTTTAGTTTTAATAACGTTTATACGCACTATAAATCTCTCACAACACGCTGTCTCAAAATTGTTTTACAATCACAATAACAACTACCGGTATATTCCAGAACTTTCCGAGAGGGTTCAGTTCGGACTCACGCGTCCCACGCGTAAACATAACATAATATATAATTATATGACAGTTTTTGACAACACAAAAAGACTATAGATATTAGACTATTTCACATCTACCGCTTGTCGTGCCAGCGACAACTAACGACCAAATGGAAACTAGGCTTAATTACCATATAGCCAAACTTAAACCCATCCCATTTTAAGGTGGTTCTAAGTTGAAAACAGTGTAGTTGTGATGTAATTACCAGAAAGGCCTATTAAATATATGATATCTATCCAAAAGGAATCTCAGTAATTTAACCCTGCCATGTTTGTTTGTAAAATCAACATTCAAGTTTGGCAATTATTTTTAGCATATCAACTACATATATATCAAAGACACACAATTATTCATACACATTTGATTGATTAGCATATTATCGATTTTGACCGAATGGGAATTTTAATGTGCTGTGCTTGCAATGCGTATTTTCCAATTTGTGTTGTACAGCAGTCCTTCCTTTCTCCAGAGTCCAGAGAGACAGTGCTCCGTAGTCTATTCCATGGAGGGAGTGTGGATCTTTTCTGTAATGACCCATTATAATCAGAGCCAATAAATATTTTGACCACACTGTAAATCTCAGGGAGTTAATTTAACTCCAGTGGTATTATTCTGAACCTAATTTTACTCCACATTTGGAGTTAATTGAGGTACAGTATAACTCCACCGGAGTTAAGTTAACTCCCTGAAATTAACAGTGCAATGTGCAGTCAGCATGCCAGGTTCTCATTGGCCCTAATAACGATCCATTTATTTTTTTAATGAGGACATGCAATCTATACATGTAGATTTTATTTTTGTGGAGGTAGCAATTATCTTCAAAAGGAGCTAGGCTATTGCCACATTCTCGTTTCCAGAGCCCCGTCTTACACACAGTTGACAGAGAACGATGAGGGTCGAGTGGTACAAGAATGTGTTGTGCTGCAATTAAACAGCTTCTAAACAAGAACTGAAGAACAAAATGCCAAGTGCGACACTGCTAGATAAATCTGGCTCCAAATGATTTTTGGAGTTAGCAACAACACAGCAAGTATACTTCAGGTAAAAAGTGTCCCTGTGCCCCCCCCCCCCTGTCTCCATTCCTACGGCCCCAGCCATCATATTTATTTATTACCAGTAAATATACTATTACATAAAACACAAACCTGAGAATATTGAAATATTGTTGGGATAGCATTTGGCTTCAGGATAACTCGTTCTCTATCCTCCTTTATCATATCCAAACTAAAATGGGCTGAACAAAGACGACTTCCTTTTGTGGGAACAAAGTTAACCGGGGCATTCCTGTTCACATTCTCTACCCATTTTGCATAGATGTTTGTTCGCATGTAGGGTTTTTCTTCGCATCAGGGAAACTGGAATAGAATACATACATACAAAATATGTATTACATATAGTACTATTACATATATATTAACCCATTGAGTTGCATTGTGCCCTGATGCACCCTACTTTATTATTTTACTCTGTCTAATGCAAGACGATTTTACTTGTCAAAGGGAGAGCACTGGCGCTTAATGGTTAACTGGCCTATCTGCCATGTGTCTATTTAATCCACTGAGTGCATTGCGCCCTGATGCACCCACAGGCGGCCCAATCTCAGAATGAATGATCAGGTGTTGCGGGTTTTTAACGGTTTTTATAAACAAATTTATAGTCAACCAAAACTATTTTAAAAACATTCTTAAATTAGACAAATAAATACATTTTAACAATAAAATATAGTTGACATGATAGTATAATACCTTTGCATTCTTTTAATTACTCCATGAGCTCATTTAGAGCGGTTGATGTAACATTTTCTGTGGCCTACATTGAGTGTGCTCATCTATATATAATATAACAGTAAAAGGCTAATCACTGGCGCCACGACCGCATCGCCTTCAAAGTCAAATATCTCCGCTCAAACTACTCGTACGCCAAAACAAATTCGATTACATCTTTTCACAAAGATTTCTCTTTCTAAATAATATGGTTTGATCGTAGCTTGGGCAAATTTAGCGACGAACGGAACCAAAATCTCCTCAATTTCGGATACTGTTCAAAATACTTAGGGCTGCTCGGGCACGATCGTGGACGTGACGTAATCAATACATACTGACAATAACGCCTTACC